TATAAATAAAAATGTTTATCTCAAGTTAACCGCCTATTATCAAAACATAAAAAGACTATGCACTAAATTAAATTTGATTTTTTGTAACATTCACGATTATAAATTCAATTATTTAGCGCTAACTGGGACTTGGATACAGGACAACATTGCTGACAGAGAAATGTTGAGATTTTAATATTTAGACTGCCTCTTAGTGTTTTAAAATTAATTGTGCTCTAATATTTATATACACTGTTTTTATAATTGAAGTGAAATTTCTTTATAGAAACTCCGAAAAAAAAAAACAAATTATCGAGCACCGCGGTCGGCTGTATGGTATTTTTTATATTATAATTTAGCACTGTATTTTCGAAAATTAAAGTAATTTTAAAATTTATCCCTGTGGTTAGGAGATAAGAATACTTCCACGGCTCTTCTGCCAGTAGTAAGAGGCGACTAATCAGGTTGCGTCAGGTCGACAACCAGCGTAAAATTTATTACTAAAAAAGTATGAGGAATCCTGAACAAAACTTAGGCGGATTGTCCCATCTTGGATGTACGTGGGAACAACAGAAAGTAGTTAAAAATGGAGAAGGCCTAAGGAATTAAGTATTTGATACCAGCCGGATAACTTGTGTGGTAGCTATTTCACCAGTCATGTGTACAAGTCTACCCAACTTTTGTAGTGTCAACGGTGGAGGAATTTCACCACTTAACTCTAGATTGGACTCGTGTATAAGGGAGATAGATAGATATAAAGTAAGAATAGGTACTTGGAATGTTGGAACATTAACACAAGTAAGTGTTTTGGAGAGAGATGGACGAGGTGATGCAAGGGGTAACTGGCAAAGAGAATGCGGTGATAGGTGGAGATATGAAAGGACATGTCGATAATGAGAAGAGAGGATAGGAAAGAGTATATGGAGGGTAAGGTTTTAGTAGGAAGAATGAGGCTGGAGAAAGAATCCTGGATTTCGCAGTATCGTATGATCTTGCTGTAGTTAATAATTATTTTAGAAAGAGGTATAAACATTATATAACTTTTAAGAGTGGGAGGAATAGAGAGAAAGAGGTTGTGGCATCAATGAAAAAGAATAAAGCAATGGGACCAGATGAAGAGCCAGTAGAAGTATGGAAAATAATAGGCGATGTTGGCATAAGGTGGTTGATGATACTTTTAAATAAAATCTTATTAGAAAGGAAAACTCCAGATAAATGGAGGAATAGTATTGTGATCCCGATATTTAAAGGTAAACGTGACATACAGGAGCGTGGAAATTATAGAGACATAAAGCTTATGTGTCACAGTATGAAAATTTGGGAAAAGGTAATAGATAAGAGAATAAGAAATGAGACATCAGTATCTAAAAACCAGTTTGGATTTATGTCTGGTATGTCAACAATGGAGCCATTATTTTGTGTGAGGCAACTAATAGAAAAGTTTAGGGAAAAGCAGAAAAAGCTGTGTATGGTATTTATAGATTTGGAGAAAGCTTATAGAAAGCTCTTTTGGGTAAGAGTAGGAGTGCATCAAGGTTTTGCTTTAAGCCCTTACTTATTTTCTATAGCGATGGATGAAATTACTAGAGAAATACAAGGAGAGGTGCCGTGGTGCATGTTTTTTGCCTGCATAAGGGATGAATAAGGGATGAACTTAAAAAGTATTACATAGGTTATAATTCAAGAATAATGTGTAACTAAACTTTAAGGAATAAAGTGTTTGATACCAGCCGGACAACTTGTGCGGTAGCTGTTTCACCAGTCATGTGTACAGGTGTACCCAATGCTTGTAGTGTCAACGGTGTAGGGATATCACCACTTAATTCTTAGCTGGACTCGTGTATAAGGGAGAAAGATAGATACAAAGTAAGAATAGGTACTTGGAATGTTAGAACATTAACTGGTAGAAATGGGGAATAGTAGAAGTATTGAAAAGGAGAAAAGTTAACATTTGTTGTGTGCAAGAAACTAAGTGGAGAGGAGAGAAATCGAGGGTTATAATATAATATACTCAGGTAAGTCTAGTACAAAGAATGATGTAGCCTACGCCATTCTTTGTATATTATCCCTACACCGTGTAGGGATAATATTGGATGAGGAGATGAAAAGTAAAGTAGTAGAAGTAGCTAGGAAAAGTGACAGAATTATGGTTGTAAAATTGATATTCGAAGAAATAGTGCTGAGTGTAATAAGTGCCTATGCACCACAAATAGGATGTGATGAAATAGACAAGGCAGTATTTTGGAGAGAGATGGATGAGGTGATACAAGAGATATCTGGTAATGAGGATGTGGTGATAGGTGTAGATATGAATGGACATGTAGTTAATGAGAGGAGATGATATGAAAGAGTACATGGAAGGTATGGTTTTAGTGGGAAGAATGAGGCTGGAGAAAGAATCCCGGATTTCGCAGTATCGTATAATTTTGCTATGGTTAATACTTATTTTAGAAAGAGGGAAGAACATTATATAACATATAAAAGTAGGAGGAATAGATCACAGATCGATTATTTTCTGTGGAAGAGAGAGAGAGCGTAAAGCGAATAAAAAATTGTTAAGTTATACCAGGCGAGAGTGTAACTACACAACATAGACTGATGATAATGGAGTTGTGGTGTACCGGAAAGAGAATAAACAAAAATAATAGAAACACAAGGGAAAAATCGAAGATCCGGTGGTGGAAATTGAAAGGGTAAAATGAAAAAGAGTTTGTAAAGATGGTAAAAGAGAGGACGGTGTGGAATGTCGAGAGAGACATAAATGATGTGTGGAATAGATTTGCTAGTTGTTTAAAAAGTACTGCAAAGGAGATTGTTGGTGAGAGTAGGAGTAGAATGCCAGGAAACAAGGAAACCTGGTGGTGGTATGAGGACGTTCAAAAAATTCTAGAAAGTAAGAAAAAGCAATTCAAAGTATGGCAGAAGAGCAAAAGGAGAGAAGACTACATGGAGTATAAACGCTTGTGCAAAGAAGCCAAATGTGCAGTAAGTAAGGCGAAGTTTAAGAGGTATGATGAGTTGTATGATAGGCTAGGAACAAAGGAAGGCGAGAAAGAAATCTATAAACTTGCAAAGATAAGAAAGAAAAGGTCTAAAGATTATCATTATATAAGGTGTATAAAAAGTGTTTATAATAAGGTACTCTCGAGTGATAATGATGTGAAAAAAAGGTGAAAAGAGTATTTTGAAAAATTAATGAATGAGAAGTACCTAAAAGAGACATTAGAGGATATCTCGTGGAATGAGGGACTGGTAGATTTAATTAGTAAGAAAGAAGTATGGGAGGCTGTGGAATTAATGAAAAAGAATAAAGCAGTAGGACCAGATTATTTGCCAGTAGAAGTATGAAAAATATAAGTCGGTATTGGCATAAGATGGTTGAAGGAACTTTTAAATAAAATCTTATTAGAAGTGAAAATTCCAAATGAATGGAAAAATAGTATTGTGGTACCAATAAATAAAGGTAAAAGCGATATACAGGAGTGTGGAAATTATAGAGGCATAAAGCTTGTGAGTCATAGTATGAAAATTTGGTAAAAGGTAATAGATAAGAGGATAAGAAATGAGATATCGTTATCTAGATACCAGTTTGGATATATGCCTGGTAAGTCAACAATGGAGCCATTATTTTTTGTGAGACAACTAATAGAAAAGTTTAGGGAAAAGCAGAAAAAGCTGTGTATGGTATTTATAGATTTGGAGAAAGCATATAATAAAGTACCAAGAAAGGTTTTAAAATGGTCATTAATGAGAAAAGGAGTCCCGAAAAGGTACATTAATATAATAGATGATATATATGATGGCAAATGTACCAGGGTAAAAAGCGTAGGAGGAGTATCAGAGTGTTTTCGGGTAAGAATAGGATTGCACCAAGGTTCTGCTTTAAGCCCTTACTTATTCTCTATAGTGATGGATGAAATTACTAGAGAAATACAAGGAGAGGTGCTGTGGTGCATGTTGTTTGCTGACGATATAGTGTTAATAGGAGAAAACAGGGAGGAAATTAATCAAAGGCTAGAGGTGCGGAGATCAGTTCTTGAAGGAAAGGGTTTAAAAATAAGTAGAAGTAAGACAGAGTATATAGAGTACGAGTTTGATAAAGGAGAATACGAGGTAGGTGAAATAAGGAGACCAGTGACAATAGGCGTGGACGTGATTGGAGAGGTGGAAAGTTTGAAATATTTAGGATCAGTTGTGCAAAAGAGCGGTGGTATTGACGAGGATGTAAGACATAGGATTAAGTACAGGTGATTGAAGTGGAGAGAAGCGTCTGGTGTGTTATGCGATAAAAGAATTCCAATGAAGCTGAAAGATAAGCTCTATAAAAGAGTAGTGAGACCAGCTATGATGTATGGTTGAGAATTTTGGACAGTGGACAAGAAAGTAGAACAGAGAATGAGTGTAACAAAGATGAGAATACTTATATAGATGAGTGAAGTTCTAGAGAAGATAGGATATGAAAAGAATATATAAGAAAGAATATAGGTGTAGCGTCAATCTTGGATAAGATGAGAGAAAATGGACATAGATGGTTTGATTATGTTATGAGGAGAGAAGAATCGGAAGCTGTAAGAATAGTTGTAGCAATGAATGTTGAAGGAAGAACAGGTAGAGGAAGACTAAGAAAGAGATGTGAGCGTAGATGATGTAGGAAATCGTGTCAAGTGGGAATTTAGGATAAGGGTGGCCGACCCCATGAAGTTGGGATTAAGGCGAGGAAGAAGAAGAAGAAGAAAGTAATTTTAAAATTTAAAACCGCAGACTTAATGGGCAACAGTGCTGACGAAGCGTCTGGTACATTCGTTATAAAGGAACCGACTCAAAGTAACTGAATAGTCATTCAAGCTAAAACAAGATTCTAAAATATTAACATTATTATTATTATACAATTTCTGAAATTTTACTTTGAAGTATATTCAAAATAATAAAAGTACACTAATTAAATAAGATATTATTTAGCTAAATTTAGCCATCTGAATAATTAATCTATGTATTATACAAAAAATGTTTGTATCAATAAATAATTAGCATATAATTTATTAAAAACCAAGATTTTCACAATCATTTAAGATGACATTTTCATAAAAACGATTAAGTTTTGCACATATGAGTTCAATTAGTTCACTGGATGATATTAGATTTACACCTCTTTCCAAAATAATATTATCGTCCAAAACCGAAAGGTTTTTTTCTATCCAGCAATCTTTTGCATTGTAATGATCTAATGTTAATAAATTTGGAAATATAACTACGGAACGAAAATTTGAAATTGTATTAAAATAGTTACTTGCCATGACTATATCATAAGTATCGTTTAAATCAATAAAAACTATTTGAGAATGGTAAATCATCAATAATCCTTTAAAGAATTTAGAAAGATCATCAACTAATTTTTCAACAACCAATTGATGATTTTTTGTTCTAAAATGATTGGTTGCTCTTCTTATAGTACTCAATGCAAAAGATAATCGATCAAACATAATAGTAGATCTATTAATTATATCATAAATTTGAATCACGCAATGAATAAATGAAATTGTATTATTATTATTTTGCTCAACTTTACAAATAAATATTAGCGAGTTCAACATGTCATCAAAATTATGGAGTATTTCAGTGTATCTGCAACGCATTAATTTTGACAAATATTTACGTATAATGATATAGTTATTTAGAGATACATAGCTTACTATGTCACTTATTTTTATACAATTATCTTTTTCTTTAATAGTTATGTGATTTAGATTGTTCCAACCATTTTTTTTAATAATTGAGCTTAAAAATATAACAATATCTTCATCAGGAGTTCTGAACCTAATAACATTAAGACAATATGTTTCATTTAATTATATAATTATTACTTAAAATAATTGATTTTAATCGTATAATAGTCTCCATTATTGGAATAAAGTACTAATTTTAAGTCAGTTTTATGTCTTCTGAAAAGTTTTTTTTCAATTGTTGAATATGGTGATTTTTTTACATTTTAAAACTAATATACAGAATGATTCACTTATCACAAATCATTTAAATAATCGAAATATAAAAATAATTATAATATTTTTTTTGTTAGTTTCTTTTTGTTCAATGTTTCTCTTAATTATCAATCATAAAATCATTTTTATGTTTATCACTTATATATTTTAAAGGTGTCAACTTTAATTTTTCAAATAACAACAGACATAATTAACTAGTTTATATATTAAATAATGATCTAATTAAAAATATGACTGATTGATAATGCCTTTTGTTCCAGTGTATTGGAAGTTATTTACATATGTATATCTTGGTGAAAGAAATAGTACTACAGAGAAATGTCTAGTTATGCACAACTTTTAGCTTCAATGTGAAACTGAGATGGTATTAATTTTACTCTTTTTAGCTTCGATGCGAAGCTGAGAAGGTATTGATTTTACTATGATGTGTATTTTTTTTGTCTGTTATCACTGTTTCTCAGCTCTCACCGAACGGATTTCTTTCAACGATACGTCAAAAGATCACAAATCGTATGTATGAAGACATTACCCATAAAAATTGAAAATATTTCCCTCGTTTCCCGTAAATGGGGGAATCTCCAAAAATATTACAAATTTAAAAATCGCAAATTTTCGAAATTTTTTTACTTAAAAATTATAACTTTTTTAAATGAAAAAACCAATATAACTTTTTTTTTTTATAGATGTTTGACGTCTTTTCCTATCATTGAGTGTATTTTTTTAATAAATGTAACCCATTACCTGCCCACAGGGGGGGATTTAAAATGACAACTTTTTCAACTTAACTTTTGAAAGTGTTCCAGAAATACGAACACTTTTATATATATCTTAACTTAAAGATAATGTAATATACTTTATTATATATAAAAAAAAAAATTTCGGACTTTATTTTGTCTTCACGGTGAAAATGGCTACCTCATGCTATTTTTGTGTTAAAATTCTCGATTTTATATTTTACATTTTTAACTTTAAAATGTTATAACTTTTTGAAAAATGTATGGATCATTACAATTTTTCTATAAGAAATAATATTTATACACTTTATTCATTCGATATACTTCTTTATAAATCAGACCATTTCCCTTAATACGAGGGGGGTTTTTATGATAGTGATTTTAACTGTCAAATATTATTTATACTTGTCCCACTTATGCCGCGACCCCAATGTACTGGGTTTATTTTTAATATTTAAAAAAAAAATGCACAGGAATTACTATTTTTTAATCCCAACAAAATCATCTTGACTCAACCTCATAATTAACCTGTTCTTCCCTACCTCATTATCACATTAAAAATTTATTTCATTAATATTTTCATTATTAATATTTCATTGAATCTTACTTGGTTTTGTTAGGATCCAATAGTTCAACAAAGCCAATATTTTCATAATCATTTTTTATCGTTTGATCATAAAAATTTATCAGTAAATTTTTAATAATGCTATCATCAAGGTTAGACTTTTTAAATTTATTCAAAGCTTCTTCTTCATACATTATTTGCAAATATTGTGGAACATGATTTTTATTTATAAATAAAAACATACTAAGACCATTTATAAGTTTCTGTATAATGTTGATCTCTTTAATATTTTTAAAAAAGCTTATTACATTTTTAAACTCTTGTAAAATATCATGATCACTAGATCCCAATAGTTCAGATGAATTTTTATTCAATTTTAAATTAGTAAATTCATTAAATGGTTTAATATAGTCTATTATTGTTGATGGAGATTCCATATTAATTTTAATGTTTTTTAAATTTATTTGGCTTATGAACATCATGGCATTAAACAGTTTGCTAAACATATTTGCAGAATTTTTTACTGTATCATACAGTAGAATAGTACAATTATTAAAATTTGTCGTGTTTAATTCTTTTAAATAAAAATTGCATTTATCTATAATATACGTAATCATTGTATTAAAGTACCAAAGTATTTCAGTATACCTATAATTGATTGAATAAATTATTAGATGCAATACTTGTATGTAATCTTTTCTTGTCGTTTCATTATTTAAAACTGTATGTATTGGATATCCACGTAAATTTCCAGTATTAACCAATATATGTGGCATTAATTTCCATCCTTGCTGATTACAAAGATGATTCAACACATTAATAACATATATTTTGTATTCAGATGGTTTAATTTTACAATGAACAAAATAGTGATTATTCAAAATCATAAGTGAAAATAAGACATAAAAAAAGAATTTCATGTTCATTATGTCATAGATTTGAAAATATAAAATGGATAATTAAGTATAATTTTATATATAAAATATAAATTATTTAAATAGCGATGAAAAAAATTTTTATATAGAAGCAGTATAAATAGTTAACACACAAGTGTGTTTGGATAAATTAATATTCATGTATTAATATTATATTATAGATAGTCATATAATGATTTAAGAAAAACCACTTACAAACTGTGAAAGAAAAAGAAAACTCCGTTTAATGTTTAACAAAAACGGTATCATAGTGGAGTCGTGGCATAGTTGGCATAGTATAGATGATATCCGACAGTGATTAAAATCACAATCATAAAAAACGTTTTGATGCAATTTTGTTGATAGTGTTTAATTTTAAAAAAAATGGTTAATTATTCCAAAAGCAGAATGAACTCCTATTTTATAATTTATATCCTGATAATTTATATCCTGATTACAAGTTTATAGAGATAATTATTTGATTAAACGTAAATATTTGTCAAAACTCATGCGTTGCAGATATACTGAAATACTTCATAATTTCATTGATATGTTAATTTCGCTAATATTTATTTGTAAAAATGAGCAAAAGAGAAATAATACAAGCTCATTTTGTATTGCGTGATTCAACTTTACAATCTAATTAATAAATCCACTAATATGTTTGTCTTTTGTATTGAGTACAATAAGAAAAGCAACCAATTATATCGCGACAAAAAATAATCAATTGCTTATTGAAAAATTTGTTAATGATATCTTTAAATTCATTTAAAGATTATTGGAGATATACCCTTTTCAAATATCATTTATTGATTTGAACGATACTAGTTACAATGCCATGGCAAGTGAATATATAAATAAAATTTCAGATTTTTTCACCAAAACAATAGTTGCAAACTTATCAACAATATATGCGTACAATTCAAGAGATTGAATAATTGAAAAAGAGCCTTCGGTCTTAAATGATATGATTAACTTGGATAGAGATAAAAATCAATTATTATCCAGTGACTTGATTGAACTCATATGTGCAAAACTTAATAATATAAAAACATTATCTTAAATTTTTGTAAAAACCTTGGTTTTCAATAAATTATAAGCCAATTACTTATTGATAGAAACAGGGGCGTCGGAACTATTTTTTTACATGGGGGCCAAAATTTAATAACTATAACTCGGTCCCCTTTATTCTTACTAGGCAAAAAAAGTGGGTAAAGTAATTTGATTGGTGGATTATAATGATCATATAAAAAAAATCCGATAATTTATAAATTTTACTCTTAATAATACATATTATTTTTATCATATTATTAATATGTATTGGTAATATAATAAAATATAGTTTATAGATTAATTAAACAATTTTATTTATCACAATAAATAAAAAAAAAGTTTAAGTTATTAAGTTCAATTATTATTAAGTTATTAATAATAATTATGAGTTTATTATAATAAGTTGACACGGTCCGTAAAAGCGCACTATTCATTGACTTTGAAATAGCACGTTATCCGGTCGTGATTATCAGCTGTCCATCGTCACACTCGTTAGTATTGACGATAAAACTATCGAAATCCAGTCATTATGACATCGTTTAGTGCCCTGTGCTGATGATGCCGGGTGGTGGTGATGCTAACTTCGAACAAGTTCATTGGGGGGAAATACAATAATATTGATAGGTGCACAGTGTACGGTCAGCTGATGAGAATAGGATAATAAATACCGTTTAAAGGACCGGTTGACTGGTGGAGGTTATCAAATACACAACTATCAAGAAATACTTAACGCCTAATGTACACAACACTAATTGACAAGATTTAAATAAAAACAAACTAGAACAAATTCTGCAACATTGCAATTTATCAGGTGAAAAAAGAAAACACGGGACTACTGTTGGGGTGGTGAAGAAAAACATAATCTTTGCTTACAAGCAGAATCTAGGGAGGAAAAGTCAAAGAAATTTAGTTTCGATAGTTGAAATGTTAGTAGTTTTAATTTGATATAACAAGTATTTGGAGGGTTAAAAAAAAATTAAAACTGGGATTTAATTAGTTTTTGGAGGAAGCAAAGCCTGAACTAATTGAATTGCTGCAGCGACTCTTAGCCGATAGCTCTATTAATTATAGTTTAAAACTAGAGTCTACGTATGTCATTCCTAACAAAGCTGAAGCCAAAGAAGATACATCCTTTAAAACTACATTGGCAAATTTGTTTATGTCAAGTTCTATACACGACTCTTTTAATGAAGGTTTCACTTAACTTATTTTGGAACAAGAGGAATATTTAGGTTTTGAGTGTAGAAGTACTATTGTTGTGTGACGTATTTGAATCATTTAGAGATCTATGTCTGAAAACATATAAATTGTGATCCTAATTATTATTACATTGCACCAGGCATATTGTTTGAATGTATGTTGAAACATACAATAGTAGACTTCGTACTTTTGCATGATTATGATATGTTGATGATGTTAGATCAAGGCATATGATAAGGTTTGACGATAACAGTACACAGATATACAAAAGTTAATCATTTTGGACTTCCTCACTATGATGTTAGTAAACATAATGGCTAGATAATTTATCTAGATCCTACAAATCTGTAAGTTTTATTGCTTTATTTATAAATTTTCTTTATTTATAACAATAATTTTGCTATAGATATATAGATGGGTCATGTACCTACCTAAAAATAGTTTCAAGTGGAGTGAAAAAAATTTGAATGTTCCAGCAGTTTTTAAAACTCTTGGAAAAAACAGCAATTGATTCGAAAAAAAGAATGATATTAGAAGTTGTCGTTTCATATCCTAAATATTTACATAATAATCATAACGATTTACCGTATTTTCTAGTTAAAGATGTAACTAAGGGTTCTATGTTTCCAAAGCTTTTGACTACCTTAGAACATAAGAAAAATTACATTGTTCATTACAATTCTCTGAAACAGGCATTACAGACAGGACTGGAGTTAGAAAAAGTAAACAGAGTAATAGAATTCAATTAAATTCCTTGGATAGCAAGCTATATAACGTTGAATACACGAATATGTTCGTTAGCCAAAAACGTGTCTGAAAAGGATTTTTATGAACTGATGAACAATTTAGTATTCTGTACGTACAAATATTATAAAAATTAAAAATTAAATTTAATGCTCGAAATCACTACTTTTTTTTTGGAAAAACTGTGGGGAATGTACGATTAAGAATTAAAATGGAGCTCATAAGCAATTATTAAGGTATAGTAAACTTATTAATCTACCAAACTATAACTGTAGTTATAGTTTACACTGTTTACACTAAAAATTATTACGCAGTACGCCTTCATAAGGATGATCTAGTATTCAATAAGCCTATGTATATAGGCTTTGCGGTGTTGGAAATATCGAAGACTCTCATGTATGATTTATATTATGGAACTATTAAAGTTTTGTATGTAGAAAATATTGAGCTCCTATACATGGCTAGATTTTTTATTGGCTTTAATTTAATATTTATCTTCTTCTTTAGTAATCAGCCCTAAGGTTGGTTTTAAAGAATTCTTCCATATTACTTCCACTCTTCTCTGTTACTAGCTATTCTCTTCAGTTCCCTGTAGGTTTCAGTCCGGCATCTTTAATAACTTTTTTGATTATCGTTGTTCTAGGACGTCCTCTGCCTCTCTTACCTCCTATTCGTCCTTCCAATATTCTGTGGTGTAGTTTCTCCTCATGTTTTAAAGTATGTCCATCTTCTTTCATTAAATGATCTTAATAATCTTTTAGATTCACCTATTTCCTTAAGTAAACTGTCACTGGTACTGATAAAATATTGTAGAATATGATTTTTATTCGCAGATAAAAACAAACAATGTGTTGGATACATATCGGTCGAATGTGCTGTTGAGAATTTGTGTTGTAATTATTTAGGCTATCATTGTGCTACATCGAGTTGTTGTCGGTCTTTTCTCTATGTCTGCATTGTCGCCGCCATCTTAGCGCATTTTCAGCCATAAGCTCTATGGTGCTTTCGAGTCAGTAGTTTTGTATTAATTTTGTTGTAAAAAGTAAAATATTACCATTGCACCTTTGTGCGCTCAGTACATCGCCGTTGGGTCTATATTTTCTGAGATACATCATAGTACCGTTCACAGCATATTGTACACGTTGGTAGCTACTTGCATTCGACTTCGATTTATCCTTTCAATATTCAAAATTATTATTAGCCGATGAGTGTAATGATTTTTCATTATTTATTATTTGATTATAACAACGTCATTGTGGCATTAGTATATGTAAGTGTCCCCTATCCACATTGGTATATATAATATTTTAGGATTCATATATAATACATTTAATTGTATGTAACAGAAATAATGAATCCTTTCCAAAATTTTATATTCTATTATGAAAACAATAAATCAATTTTAGTATAATATAAAATTCTATATACTACTAAAGGAACATAAGAATCGTTTGAAAGTAAATTTTTAACATTTTGAAACATAAGTTCATTCTTTATTGGCCAAATGGACAAAAATCACATTATCATGACTATCAACATTGAAATCTGTTGCTGGTATATTATTCATTGATAGACTTTAGTTATCATTTTTTCAATTTGATCTACTTTTGAGAGCAGACAGTCATACATTATTCAATTTTGAATTTGTTCCATATAAATTGAATTCAATAAATTTAATATTTTATTTTAATCACCTGTCTGAATGACATATACATTTACATGAAATTTAGAATAACTAAAAAACCATCTTTTTATTTATTTTTGGATTGAATGATTTTATACCTGATTCAACATTTCTTAAGGTATTGAGCGAAATTAAATTATACATTGAGTGTGTTTGCTTTTGAGACAGTGGACATTTAATTAATAATTTTTTAGGTGATAAGTAATATTATAAATAAAAATAGAATTAAATATTAATAATTAATAATATAATTTCAAGGCAGACAATTATATCAAGAGAAATTAATATCACATTTAAAGCTCTAGTATTTATGACATCAAATATTAAAATTAATAGTTTGCTAAACTGGATATTTACGTAGTTAATAAAATGATGTTCAATAGCAGATAATGTTAATAAAAAGTGAATTTCACTTAAATTTAATATATAATTAATTATACATGTTAGTATTTAAAGTAAAATTACTTTTTTTTATTTTAGCTTAGATGCGAAGTGAGAAGGTATTAATTTTACTATGATGCGTTTATTTTTTTTTTGGGGTCTGTTACTACTTTTTCTTAGCTCTCATTGGATCGATTTTTCTTAACGATATGTCAAAAGATTAAAAATCGTATCTAGTTGAAGACATTACCCTCAAAAATTGAAAATTTTCCCCTCGTTCGCCGTAAATAGTGAAAATCCCCCAAAAATGACAATTTTTAGAATCGGTAAATTTTGACATGTCATTTTTTTTTTCTAAAAATTGCCTAAACTATTTTTAATATAAACAATTTAAAATAATTCTTTTTTATATTGAAACTTTGGATATTTTCCTTTCGAAATTTGATATAAATTTTTTGAAAATCTGACTCTTTATCTGTCCACAGGGGGAATTTAAAATAGAAAATTCTGTACAAAAATTTAACTTTTTCAACTTAAGTTTTGAAAATGTTCCGGAAAATCTTTTCCTGTAGCAATGATTTTTTCGCAATTTTTCCGTTATTATTTTTGAGTTAGAATTTTGTTTTTCAATAATCCACCAATTTTTTTAAATTAAATACTATCTACAGATTTGCATCGAAGCGTTTTTTATGATAGTGATTTTAATCACTGTCAGATATCATCTATACTAGTCCCAACTATGTCACGCTCATACTGTGCCACGGCCCTACTGTGCTACTGTTGTTTAATATAATATTTATAATAAAATATTTATAAATATCAAATATTTATAATAAAATGTACAAAGATACTTTTTTGTCACGTAACAACATTAATAGATTTTATTATATTATAATTATAAAAATTTGTATTTTTTTGCTTAGTTTTCGTAGTTCTTCAAAAATGATTTTTAACAAGCAATGTTTGTGGCATAAAAAAGCAAATGAAAAATGAATTGACAATAGAGCCCTTAAAACAGAAAGTCTTTCTGCTTTTCAGGATACTAATTTTTTTTATATATATATTTCAATTGAATTAGAAAAGGGTTTTCCATTTTGTACACTTAAACTTCTGTAAAATATTATTTTTTGTAAAAAATTTTGAGAAACGCAGAGTATTTGTGAATAAATTAAAGTAGATTATAGTATTGAGATGGAGTCTCGTGTTTAATTATGATAAAAGGTTAATAAATCAAATAAATGACCGAACAAAAGTATAAATTACATAATTACAATTTTATTTGTGCTACTACTATCATAAGTGTAATGTCGACGTTAGGTTTTTCAGGGCCCGGGTAAATCATAATTGCGAGCCCTTGTGTTAAAAGTGAGGAGGTTAAAGTGTGATAGATATTTTCAGTAAAAATTATTACACGATACAATTGGTACACGGTATATGCACATATATAGGGCATATGCTCTGACCTTGCACCGGCATTGCATAAGCGGATTTTTAGTCAAAATCTTGGTTGTGTATAATTATATAAATTTATTATTATAAAAGGCTATCTTTTTTATAATGATTTTTTTTGGCTCTCAAATTAAAAGAGAAAATTTAGTAAATAACTGCAAAAGAAAAGCGTGTACGAATACTACACAATTGAAAATTAAAAGTTAATTAAGGTGTAGTTAAGTCATCATTTCAATTTCATTTCTTTCGGTGGTATCCATGTAAATATAGGATTTAAATATAATCCCTTCTTGATAATATCGATATCGTATACGTATCATAAATTAACTAAGCTAAAATATTTTTATTTAATATTTTCAGGTGATTATTAATCGCGTAAATTACTTTTAACTACATAAAATAAAGTAGTAAATTGTGCCGAAAACATTTCCTTGGTAAATTTAATGACTACTTAAAATTATTAAATATTTCATTTTACTGAAAAACTTATTACATGAACACGATATTAATATTACATTAGCGGATTTAGTCATCAAAATATTCTAATAGGTCTAATTTGTATTGTTATTATGTACAAATCTCCCTTCTAAAAATTTTACTTAAAACCACCCTTGTAGTAGTAAAACATATTAATTTCTATTCTAACATACTTGATTAATTTACCAAAAATTTTAATATACTATTTAAAATATTATATATTTTCCTAGCAAGAATAAGTAAATTGAACTTGTAAATGATAATAATATTAGCAATCACGTTCTAAATGTATGTACACTTAAACAAAAATATTTATTTTATCTTTTTCGTTACTTTAAAAAACATTTTAATATTTACAGCTCTTACTGATATTTATTGTATATTTATTACGCATATTCCACCTGCATCATATACCCACTCAATGTAAAAAAAGTTATACTCAATAATTGTTGTTTTTATAATTATTATTGAATCATTAGTCATTTTCGTAAGAAAAGTTCTAAAAACAGGTTAATTTGAAAAAAAAAAAAATGTTGTATTATTAAAAACAAATAATAAAAATATTGATTTTAATATAGTCTAAGAACGCACAAATCATAAGAAAAGTTACAACGAAATGTGAGTTGTAGATCAAAAGTTATAAGATTTGTCAGTTAAATCTATTCCATTCTATATACTTTGTCATATATCTATTTGAACTTTGAGGAAACATTGAAATGTTTTCAAAAATATTAATTGTTAGAATAAACATTTTTTTCAGACATTAATCATAAATATAGTCGTACTTATGTGGAATTATCTACCTTCATATTCACAATACATTGAAAAACTTTGACATTAAATTAATCATTAATACTGTCAATATTCGTTTGAGGAACAAATTCATTGTTTTATTACATATATTATTTAATTACATATATATATTGCAATAAAGAGTACACATTAATATGTATTATAACTGCTTCCTTAAGTAAATCAGTAGCTGACTGCGTGGAAAAATAAACTACAATATATAGACTTAATAAATAGAGGAGAAAAAAATAATGATTGGAAATTTTCAATCATTTTTATTATAAAAATTATTATTTTTGCCATGTTAAAATACACTTTAAAAGTCATGATACATATCGGTAATCTGTAAGCAACAATTAGTGCTACCTCATTATGTGATTATTGACAAAATTAGTTCTTCATTACTATATTAATTAATATATTAACTTATGAGTAAAAAAATATATACATTTTAATATATTTTGTATGTTTATTGAAATAATATGACCTTTCACTCGAGTAGTAAGAACTCTTGGTGGTCAAAATAAGTGATGATGTAATATTTTTAATAAACATTTTATACGTTGAGGATAGCAAGTGTTAACATTAATGTATCCACCTCGCTTGTAAGTTTGATTTGGTAGGGCTGTTAATCGCAGGACTTAAATAATTTCAATGGTTGTATTGTTCTTCTGCTGGTTTTAACTTTTATTGAAATTTTTATAAAACTTGGGAAGATTATTTTAGAACACCAGAGACATGTGCCTCTGGTATTAATGGAACCATTTTAAAATTAAAAAAAAATATTTGTTCTTAAAAATGATGCATATTTATTTTAATAATTATCCTAAACAATTTAACTGTTTTCTGCTAACAAACTAAATTTATGACATAGGTTTTTTAAACAGCAGTTTTCTACATAATTTGCCATTTTTCTGTACTGGTTTGTATTTTATATATAAAAAATAGTGTAATACAAAATAAAACACACTAATCATAATTCAATTTTGCATGCTTCCATTAAATCAAAATTCCAAATTTGTTTTCCTTCTTCTTTTTAAAAAAAAATAAAATTATTAATTTTATCATAGACAGCATTAATAATTAAAATAATGAAATTTATAATTAGTCTATTATTTTACTATATTTATTTCTTATGTTGCATCAATGCAGTTGTCGATCATGAGAAGTTACTTGGTAAGTTATTATTCAATAAGAGCAATGCCAGCGGAGGCCGTGCAATTGGTGTGATTGTTCCAGACCTTTTGGACATGAATACAAAATTAATAAAACATATGAGATAAAAATATGTATAATTTTTATTTCATTTGGTCTGAGCTAATAGCAAAATAGCGAGTAAAATGACTCGAATAAAGCTTAACTTCCCATAATGTATTCTTATAAATAATAAAAAAATTATTTGAATTATATTATTGTAGAGTTTATACAGGGTGATTTTTTTATCATAATCCACTCAATTACTTACAGAATAAATATATTTAAACATTTTTTAGCTTCGAAATGCGAAGCTGAGAAGGTATTAATTTTACTAAGTTTTACTTTTTTTTTTGTGTTTGTTACCACTTTTTCTCAGCTCTCACCGAACCGATTTCTTTCAACGATACGTCAAAAGATCACAAATCGTATGTAGTCGAAGACATTACCCTTAAAAATTGAAAATATTTCCCTCGTTTCCCGTAAATGGGGGAACCTCCAAAAAAATTACAAATTTAAAAATCGCTAATTTTCGAAATTTTTTTACTTAAAACTTATAATTTTTTTAAATGAACAAACCAATATAACTTTTTTTTTTTATAGATGTTTGACGTCTTTACCTATCATTGAGTGTATTTTTTTAATAAATGTAACCCATTACCTGCCCACAGGGGGGGATTTAAAATGACAACTTTTTCAACTTAACTTTTGAAAGTGTTCCGGAAATACGGACACTTTTATATATATCTTAACTTAAAGATAATGTAATATACTTTATTATATATATAAAAAAAAAAAAAAAAATCGGACTTTATTTTGGCTACCTTATGCTATTTTTGTGTTAAAATTCTCGATTTTATATTTTACATTTTTAACTTAAAAATGTTATAACTTTTTGAAAAATGTATGGATCATTACAATTTTTCTATAAGAAATAATATTTATACACTTTATTCATTCGATATACTTCTTTATAAATCAGACCATTTCCCTTAATACAAGGGGGGTTCAAAACATAAAAATGCATATAGAAAGTAGAACTTTTTCAACTTAATTTTTGAATGTGTCCCGGAAATACTGACACTTTTATATATATCTTAAATTAAAGCTTATGTAATATACTTTAATAATAAAAAAAAAATTTCTGAGTTTATTTTGTCTTCATGATGAAAATAGCTACCGTATTCAAAAATATGCAATTTTTGTGTTAAAATTCTAGGTTTTGTATTTTATTTATTATAAGGGAATTACACTGATTTTCATAAATATTATATCAATCTAATTGACATAGTATAAAAAGTGAAACATATTTAAATTTTTTTGTTTCTTTGAAGTCGAGAAAAATAACTTTAAGAGTTGAACTAGTTAAATTTCCATTTTTATTAAGTGACGAATGCGACGTACGGTTTCTGAAACGGTAACATTTGGGTCTTTCACATCTGTGGCACTGAATTTTTTCTTAATTCTGTTTGAGTTAGAAAAAAATATATATAGTAAATGACGTTTAAATTTTTAATGTAACTTTATTCGTTTATTAGATAAACATTTAAAGTTTCAAATGTTTGAGATAATGTACATGTATAATACACAAGCGATTACAAATACAGGTAGCTAAATGGTTTTTATGACATTGCTGTCAATCACGTATTGTTTATTATCAATTATGACTATCAATAGATAGACTTTTTATACAGTCAGTTATTGTATTTATGAACTCACAACAATGTGCATTACTACCATTGATAATAACAATGCAAAATAAAAACAAAGTTGACCCCCTTACAAGGCATAAGGGATGAACTTAAAAAGTATTACATAGTTAATAATTCAAGAATAATGTGTAATTAAAGATAACCAAAAAAAAAATATTTGAATATATTTATTCTATAAATAATTGAGTGGGTTATGATAAAAAATTCACTCTGTATAACTCAACAATATTAAAAATTAAAAATGTTTAATAGTTTATGAGAAAATGAGCGCCAGAAGGCACCAATTGTGTCAGTAAGCTACCAAATGCCGTAAATTGTTCCGCCGGCATTCAATAAGAGTAATCATTTTTTTTTGTTTAACAACAAACATCTTTTTGAATAATTTTTTGTCTTGTAGAAATAGCTGGTATTATGGCTAAGAGTAGTATGTATAAAACAAATAAAAAATGATTTATAGTTTTTTCCCATATTTTAACTAATTAAACCCAATATAATAGGATCGTGGCATTATAGGACACACCATAGTTGGAACAATTATAAATGATACCTGACAGTATAAATCACTATTATAAAAAAAGTTTCAATGGTAAACTGTTAAATTTCACAATAATTTATATATTTGTAGTTTTATAATTACTTAGTAAAAAAATGGTGTATTGGAACCTTTTTGAATATCGAATTGAAAAAAAAAATTTACACGCACGTATACATATGGCCTTTATCAAAATTCTTCTTATATTTTGGTTTTTCATTGAACTTTCACAAAAATTACACTTAAAGAAGACTTATTGTTTCTATTGCATTGTACTATATTTTTATTGGAATTAATATTAAAACAAAAAGTTGTATTGATTTTTAAATGCAGTAACTAATTTGAAAA